AAAAGATAAAATTATAATTTATTTCATACATAAATATATTAATTATGTACAGTAAAATTAAATAATTTACTTACTTCACCTTTCGCCTTCATTCTTGTAAAGTTTTACTAACTTGGATTACAAGGAAGAGACCGTCATACATAAGGCAACCGGAAATAGGAATATTTGATTTATCTAAAAAAATGTTTATTATTTCTATTATCTTATAAAATAAGAGATTTGTAGTATTTTACAATCGTTTCAAATAGAAATTATTTATTAGAAATATATTCTACAAATTATTTAGATTTTTATATATTTTTATTAAACGATTACGTTCAATGTTTTTACTTACTAAATGATGGTAAGGTAGTTTCCTAGGAATGTATTTTTTATTTATCTAGTAACATTTTAGTAAAAATTCATTTTTTTTCAAATTTCAAAGTGATCCTAGTTTTATTTTTTGTATAAATCATAGATTTTCCTGTGTTAAAATTAAATAAATGACAGAATTCAACAAATACTATTATAAGGATAAAAGTAAAACACAAAATGTTTGTAGCAAAGTACCATGATTTAAATTTAAATTTCATACTTCAAATAATTGTTTCTTGTCAATTCATATATAATTCTGTTTTTTAATATAACTATTAGTTGTAGTGTATAATAAGATTTATTTCATGAATTTTTAAAAATGCCTAATCATTTAAAGTAGAATCCAGTTCTCATGATTAATCTAAATCACAGAATTTAATGTTGAAATATAAATGATTTGTATGTAATATATTAATTATAAGTAATATATTAATGACAATATTTAGGAATATGTAAGTATAATATAATTACTAGATTTAATAGGTTTAAAATTTTATATTTGCCGCATTAATTTATAAAAGGCTGTAAGTAAATACACTTAAAGGAAATAAGTGCGTGGTTTACGGACGCTAAAGAGTGGCATACGATTCTTATGATGTATTCTTTTAGGTAATGGGAATTTAATCTTTGAATCATGGAATTGTTTAACTTGAGGTCTTCGACAATTTGCAGCTTTTACTACTTCGACTTTAATTATTTGAATTGAATGTGCACGTGCACGATGACGTGCTCCCATATCTCTGTAACATTGAGTTACAGCTCCACTGACAGATAAATCTCTGTATTCTCTGTACATATTATGTGTTCCAGATCGAGAATCATATCGCAACCAAATTCCAAAGTTCTTTATTTTAATCGGAGTCTTTTCTGGAATCTAAAATTAAAACCATTATCAATATTATTTTATATTAAATATTAYTCATATTATATTTGATTTTAATATRTACCTGTTTAAGTGATACAATCTCTCCAGTTGATTTCTTAAACTTTTTCAATTGACGCAAGAAATACCAAAATCTGGATTTGGCAACAATTGCATCTGGTGCAAATATTCTCATTTTATATAAAGGAGGTGTTTTCTCCTTTTCTGTTGGGAGTTTCCGCCCRATGACCTCATATTCTTTCAGCTAAAGAAAAAAGAAATAAGAATATTATTTTAATTTTTATGATACAGTATATTATTACATGTATATTWTTTKTTTCAAATAAAATCACTTCTATGAAATATAAATTATAATTTAATAAGATAAAAATAGAATAGATAAATATATATAAAATATAATAATCTTATTTAGATAGATTAGAAATAATTATTTGGWATATTATWYAAACATGTGTGGACTATCAAACACGTTTTTATAGGTTAGGTTATCTTATTATGATTCCTTAAGTAAGTGAGAATACATCTTGTATAARATTTAACATTAGCATAAAAAAAAGATAAAATTATAATTTATTTCATACATAAATATATTAATTATGTACAGTAAAATTAAATAATTTACTTACTTCACCTTTCGCCTTCATTCTGGCACAGGCTTAACAACGTGGGTTAATCGGAAAGAAGGATAGTAATACGTACACCAACCGGAAATAGAAACATTTGACTTACCTAAGAAAATGTTTATTATTTTTATTATCATATATAATAAGAAAGTTGTAGTAATTTACAATCATTTAAAATAGAAATCATTTATTAGAAATATATTCTACAGATTATTTAGATTTTTATATATTTCTATTAAACGATTACGTTCAATGAATGAATCAATAAATGTTACTTACTAAATGATGATAAGGTAGTTTCCTAGAACTATTTTTCTAATTCATTTATTAAAATTTAAATGAAAATTATTTTTTTGCTGGTTTTAAAGTAAGTATTGTTTTATCATTTAAATGTAAATCATAAATATTCGTGTATAAAAATTGAATAAATAAAACTAAGCAATGATTATTATGATAACGATAAAGTTTAATTATAAAAGAATTTGAAAAAATTATATTTTATTTTTATGGTATAAATATGTGTGTACCTTCAGAAATGCATTAAAACATATAATAAAAAACTAATCATTTAGGGCATTCAAATAGAAGAAAATCTGAAAGGTTTTGTTGTTA